GTGTGTACACGTGCAGTTGTGGTAAGCCAAGCCGAAGAAGTGGAAAAATAGTAGATAAAAGTCCACCAGATTCCAAAAATTTTTACCTTGATCCATTTATGAACGCATGGGATGTATTGAGGGCGATAGTTAGCGAGGATCATGCCCATGCTTGTCGGAATCATCAGCGCAATTAAGCCCTGGAAAAATATGTGTATAGCCCTTACAAAGCTAACAATAAAATTGAAGAACCCATTATCATTTCAATATTTTTATTTACCAAATTCTCTTGATTCGTTCAAATTATCTTTAGGAGTGTATAGAAATCTCAACATAATTGTGAAATCCTTGAAATGAATTGAATGAAAAAATAAGGATAAAGGATAAAGCATTTGCCGTTGATCAATCCCTTTTTGGGATGCGGCACGCATTCTACTTCCATTTGTACATTCGTAGTGGCGTTTGAATGCGATGTGGCCTATACAATGACTTGCGGGGGCCAGCCGATGTACAAGTCAGTGTTTTTATCCTCCCAGACAAGTCTGGTACCAATTGGAAGGCTTGGTTGGCCCGGGCGACTCACGACCCAGGATTTGATCCCCGGACCGCTCGCGTGGTAAGCGTGCCACTTGCCACTACACCACTTCCGCCCTAACTCAGATAACTATGTTTTCAGGTATTTTAGATATGTAAGATTTTCTCTTTTCATACTTATTTTTTCATGTTTCTTTTCACATTTACTCATATTCATATTCATTAATGGTTAATGAAAAGAAAAACGAAGAAAAGCACAGGCAGTTAGCTCTACAGGCAAATAGTAGATCTGTCATTTTAGCCGTAAATGAAATCGTATAAATCTTGCCTCAATAATTCTCAAGAAAGGAATTTGAACGTGAGCGTCGGTGAAGTGTCGACCAAGCGTTGACATCCATAACGGCATCATAACTGAAAAAAAGCAAAAACTTGGTCCCCTATTCAATAATTAAGTAGCGCCATTTTCCCTCAACTCGGTATCTAGTTGGACTTTTTTGCTTGATTGCCGTCTTGTGCCACTTATAGTTAGTGCTACCTCTGGGTGCATTGTGCTTGCCTTCTTCAGTCTGCCATCGGTCTCGCCTATGTGATTTGTGATTGTTGTAATTTCAACGCCTCAGAGGTCCATTTATAATTATTGCCATTGTCAACGAATTTGCCAACACCCCCTTCAACGTACAAAAAAGCTGGCACTCGTCTAGGTTAACGACAGGCAGCAACGAGCGGCATGACGATCTCAAATGGTACAGGTTGCTAGGAACAAATCAATGAAAGCGCTGATTTTTACCCACTAGAATGAGATTTTCTGCTCACATGTGCACATTAGTTAGGAGGCAGTTTGATTCCCAGAGATCTTCCTTGCTGGCTTAAAATTTAAGCCAAAATTGAAATCTGATCTGCAGGAATACAATTATTTCAACTCACATAGAGCAGCTAAGGTCTGCGTGAAGGTCATCGAAATGGAGAGGTCAAGATTTCCTCCAAAAATGATCGTCCAAAACGAGCTCTTTCCACCACCTGGACACGTAGACGTGGCAAACAGAGCCATTTTCAGTGAAGTGGCATCTTCTGGCAGACCGAACTCAGCCAACAGGAATCCGATCTGAATATGCTCATTGATAACTTTTATGTCACTCACTATATAGCCGGTTACCGCCTCACACAAGAGAGTAGGGAGGGTGGGGGTGGAGGGAGGCCAGAAAACGAATCATTCTTTCTCCGTATGTCAAACAGAATAATTACACGTTGCCAAATCTAAACGCGAATTGGCACTCATACTGTATGCAGAGCTCATGCTTCTCATCCGAACTTTCGGCAATAGGCCTTCTTCGACACCAGAGCGATTTCCGCTACGGGAACACTGGTGCAGGTTCAAGCTCAGCAGAGGCTCTGGACGATGTGGACCATTAGTCGCGTGCTTATCGAAGGTCGCTAGTCGGTAGAGGTCATGCGAAGTCAGGGCTACTGCCTTCAGAAAATTATTTATCACTTAAATGATTGACGAAATTATGTACCAGATTCAGACTGGAGCTACGATTGGCCTCCTTGAGCTCGATGTGATGGCAGATCATGTCAAGCTGTGAGTGCAGTGAAGGATTTTCAGATCTGTTAAGGAGAACATCTTAGCAATTTATGCCGTAATACTATCATCTACAAAAGGCGGCCTTCTGTGCGGTCAGAAAAGTGTGGTGATACTAGAGTAGACGCCTTCCCCCTTTATACGCGGATTGCTACCCTTGGACGTGAAGCTCCAAATAAGTGGAGTGATTCAGAGGATAGGCACGGTCTCTAGGCCATCACTGCTAGCTGATCCTATCTCCATGGAATCGAAAACGGCGAGGATAAGGGAAACTTGGCCATCTCGAGACGGAATGTGGCTAGCTACATGCGCTAAAGGTGCAATTTTTGGTAACAAAAGTACAGGACCTTACCGTTGGCATCAGCACAAACTGGCAACAAAACCCAATCGAGGGACCAATTGGCTTACGAGCGATACCGAAAATTCGCTTCAGCTGAAATAAAATAGCTCTACTTGCAAAGTCTACTATTCTTTGTTATTATTCGAATTTACAATTATAATTATTTTCAAGTTTTACTGTGCCTGTACATGTGCGTTCTGCACGCAAAAGCTACAGTGCTAAGAGTAGCGCTCAGAAGTGTCCATCTAACCCATTTTCCATGCGTTATTTTTCTCTTAAAAAAGATCTAAGGATAACCTGCGTATTCTTTAAATGTCTTTAGTCGTTGAAAATTCAAAGATTCTAAACCACCATACATAAAATATCAATAGTTAAAGACGGTCGTTCACTTGAGAAAAAATAACGCATGAACAAACTTTGAATTGGTTTTATTACCAACTGCTGCTTTTGGCCGCAGTTCGCATGCGAACTCTCACAGGAATGCTGGTTATGAGCAAAACTTAATTTTCGCTCCAGATGGGACTCGAACCCGTACCTCTCGTTTACCAGGCGCTACACGTTACACTACAGGGGTACCATTTCGCCGTGACTCAGCTTTTCATGGTATATTTACCATGTGGGTTGGAGCCCAGCCTGGAGCAAAAGGCTTCATAACTCACAAGGGAGGTCTTTCAGGGCAAGGTGCGCTTTTTCAAAACGGTTTTGTGCATATTGTAGGGACGCATGTAGGGAACGCAAAACCATGTTTCATTTTCGCTGAACGGTTATAGCAGTACCAAAAAAAGCATAAGGTACTGTTAAGGGTTCGATCCCCGTGGCGACTAAATTTTGCATTTGAGTTTATTCACCACTTTGATTG